GGAATCATGCTAGCAAGGACTTATTAACCTTTCAAGGACAGGTTAGCAGTGCAGCCTTTTAAAATCCTGTCTACTTAGACTGTGTACACCCAATAGCAGCAGTACATATGTTTCACAGCATGCCCCATGAGTAACAGAGTTTAGCCTGCGATGTTAGTACACAGGTCCAAAGAAGGCTCTCAGCAAGAAGATGACTTCTTCCAATTGAAGGTCATGTCACCAATCACACCCTCTCCAAGAAGGGCTTGAGAACATCTGCTTTCACTGCCGTTACCCCTGCAATACAGCATTCACTGCCTTCCCCACAGTCAGCCTGCTTCAGACAGAAAATGAATTAAACTGTAGTGAAAGACAGTGTCTGGTAGAAAATTCATTATTTTAGCTTAAGGGCAACTTTGCCAAAACCTGGCCCTGCTCTCTATTCCCCCTTACTCATCATCAGAATCTGTTTTCTGGTGTTAAGACACACACACACACAAAAGGAAAATAAAAAGAGGAAGTGGACTCCTGAACTTATTCAGGAGCTGCCAGCGCTGCACAAAGTCAGAAAGGTGAAGAACTAAAACAATGAAGGACAGTTAGGCTAGCTGAGACTAGGTCAAAGTTAAAAAGTCCAGAAGGGGCTCAGATCCAAAACCACAGAGCAGCAGAGGACTTTTTTGGGATGGTAGAAGGCAAGGAATAAAACTTGTAAAACATTGCAATTCACATTCGTAGCAGTTGCTACTTGCAGGGCAAGATATCTCTATAAATCAAGTCTCAGCAATCCTACAGGACCATGGTCCATGGTAATGCAGCACAATTCAATGGCTAGATGAAACAGCTGTGTTTTTGGATATAAATATGTAACAACACTCAAGCTTGTTTTGATCATCCACATGGCACTCACAGTCTCTAAAGCACTATAAATAATGTATTTCCCCTCATTTTCATGATTGTTTTATGATGAATCACATATTAGAGACATGCTGGGATAAAGAGATGACCTGGTTTTGCTGGGACAGAATCATAGAATCAGTTTTCTATTCAGGAAAGCTGCATTTCTGCAAGAACTATAGTACTTTTTAAAATGGAAACAGAGTTGATAAGACATTTTGTTACAGTTTTCTGCCGGCACTGGTATGCAGTGATCAAGGTCTTCAGCAGTTCTGAGACAGCCAGGTGCAGAAGCTGGGGGGAGTGAAAGCCAGGGGCCTTCAAAGCGAAAGCCAAGCATGATTCAAGCTTGTCAACAGGATTATTCCATGCATGAGCATCACACCCACTATAAACTGGAGGTCTTACTAGGGACACCCTCTCTTCTTCATTGATGGCCATCAGCCTTGGAGGGTTTTGCTCGTCCTTCTGCTCCCAAGGCCTTCTATTCCCACGCTTTTACTGGAACTGATCTGTTCGCAGTGTTGATTTTTTACTATCTAATATTCACTGTTGGCAGTGCCCAGCCAGCGACTGTTGTATGAGCCGAGTATAACTTTATGTAATTTTTTATTATTGTTCCTTTCTCCTCCAATTTTCTCCCCCTAACCCACTGGGGACGGAGGAAGTGAGCAAGCGGCTGTGTGGTGTTTAGCTGCCTGCCAGGTTAAACCACAAGAGGTTTCCTTCAATCTAAACTAAAATCCCTTTCAAAGCAATCTTCCTGTGAGTCTTTCTACACAGCCTTCCTGATCTTGAAATAACAATGACTACTCAGCGTCTGAAACAACTGACAACTTAGTTTGTGGTATAAATTTTACCAGTACAGATTTTGAGGCTACTTGTGAAATTTATTCCTCATTTTTTTTGTAAATACTACAAAATTCTTTCTGTTGACAAGCGCCTACTGTTCTTTTATTCAACAGAAATACATTATTTTTTAGTTACTTGCACTGTGCTCCTTGCAGGATTGAGAAACACTGTTTTTAACTAGCCATTCTGGGACTCAACAGCCACGTAACCACAACAGTACAGAGGTTACTGCAGGCCTGGGATGGTGACTAATCAATCAGGTGGCTGGATAGTACTACATAGCCATCATAAACTGTTTTTTGGCAACTGAGCTAGTTAGCTTCCAGCTAGCTCAGCTGCCTCCAAACAAACCAGCAATGCCTCTGCTTGCAGCACAGGCGAGATAACAATTCTAGTGATAATATTTAATTAAAAAAAATCAATAAATGTTTACTTTTCTACTCTGGTAGGTCCTCTGCTTAGCTTGCACGCTGTCAGATACTCAGATCCTTCACCATTAAGCCAGTGCCTCCACTAATACCTGTCCTGCTGATAACCCTTCCACAAAGGCAGCCATGCATGAAAATTAACAGGGTAACTGGTGCTACTTCGCTCTAACAGCGAAACAGCCTGAGGCTTATAAGCGCAAAATTTATTTTTTAGTCGAATCTCTTCGGTTTTCACTTCACATGAATCCTCTGCGCCCGCTCAAGAGCTCTTCGAGGCGGCTGCACCTCTCGCCCCAGGCAAGTGCCGGCCGCCTTCGCAGGGGGGTGATTCAATGTTCAGCCTCTCGACCCTTTTTCCCCACAGCTTTTTCGCCCCGGGACGAAAGCGTTATTTCCCTCCGGTCGCTGGGGACCAGGCAGGGTTCAAAGGCGGCTGCCAAACTCTAAAATTAAGTTTCTGGGCCATTTAAACAGACTCACACACTCGCCCCAGCC